TTGCCTGGCTGCCAGCCGCCATCTTGGTTGGCAGTTAATTTGCATATCACCCTGATTAGCCAATGGTAAGCGTGTCGGAGGTGTGGTTAATTACCATGTTTGTCTATTATTAGATAGGATAGATAATGAACTCTCAGAAAAAGAAACAAAAAAAGCAATCCCATTTACCATTGCAATAAAAATAATAAGACACCTAGGAATAAAGTTAACCAAGGAGGTAAAGACCTCCTTAAAAAGAACTATAGGACATTGAGAAAAGAAATAGCGGAAGATACAAACAAGCACAAGCATATGCTGTGTTCATGGATGGGAAGACTGAACATCCTTATAAAGTCCATACAACCCAAAGCAGTCTATAGATTCAACACAATCCGTATTAAAATACCAATATTAAATGGCATATTTCACAGATCTAAAACAAATATTCCAAAAAATTTGTATGGAACCAAAAAGGACCCCAATTATCCACAGCAATCTTGAGAAAGAAAAACAAAGTTGGAGAGATCACAATACCAGATATCAAACTATACTACAAAGAAATTGTAATTAAAACAGCCTGGTATTGGCACAAGAGCAGGCATATAGATCAATGAAACAGATCAGAGAACCCAGAAATAGACCCATGGCATTACATTCAATTAATATTTGACAAAGGAGGCAAGAACATACAATGGAGTAAAAACAGTTTCTTCAATAAATGGTGCTGGGGATATTGGACAGTTACATGCAAAAATATTGAACTAGACCACCCATTTATACCATACCCAAGAATAAATTCAAAATGGGTAAAAGACTTAAATGTAAGTCATGAATCCATAAAAATCCTAAGAGAAACCATTTGCAGCAAAATCTCAGACATCTGTCATACCAATATATTTGTGGATACATCTCCAAGGGCACAGGAAACTAAAGAGAAAATAAACAATTGGGACTACATCAAAATAAATGCTTCTTCACAGCAAAAGAAAACGTCATCAAAATGAAAAGGAAACCCACTGTATGGGAGAACATATTGGCCAATGATGCATCTGATAAGGGGTTTAATTTCCCAAAATATATAAAGAACTCATACAGCTCTAACCCGTTTGGCTCAGTGGATAGAGCGTCGACCTGTGGACTGAAGGGTCCCAGGTTCGATTCCAGTCAAGGGCATGTGCCTTGGTTGTGGGCACATTCCCAGTAGGGGTGTGCAGGAGGCAGGTGATCGATGTTTCTCTCTTATTGATGTTTCTAACTCTCTATCCCTCTCCTTTTCTCTCTGTAAAAAATCAATATAAAATGTATTTTAAAAAAATAAGAGATTAAGTATTTTAAAAAAAAGAATTAAAGAAATCCAAGTATAGTTTTTAAAAGGAATCCTAATTTATTTTTAAAATTGAGATACAATTCACATGCCATAAAATTCAGTGTTTTGAGTGTACAATTCAGTAGTTTGTAGTATATTCACAAGGTTGTATAGCCGTAACTATCTAATTCCAGAACATTTTCATTACCCCAAAAAGAAATCTTGTACCCATTACAGTCAATCTCTCTTCCCCTTGTCCTCCAGCCCCTGGAAACCATTAACCTAATTTCTGACAACATGGATTTGCCTTCTGGACTCTTCATAGAAGTGGAATCATATACTATGTGGCCTCTGTATCTGGTTTCTTTCACTTAGCATACTATTTTTCAAGGTTCAACCATGTTGTACCATGTATCAGTACTTTATTGCATTTTCTTACCCTTGCTTTTTAAATTTTTGGTAAAATATACATGACATAAAATTTACTATTTAACCATTGTTAAGTGTAAAGTTTAGTAGCATTAAGTACATTCACATTGTTATGCAACTATCAA